TTACGCTAAATTTCAGTAGAATTTAGAGGACTATTGGCGGAATATGTGATGAATCTTTAAAATTTAACTATGACTATGATCATATAAAGACATTCAACATCTTGCGAAAAACTGGCAGTTTATGTTCCATCAAATCAAGACCAACTAATGTCTTCACGTCTTTATTTCTGTTTGTCTTTTGACCGAAGTAAATGTTTCTATATTAAAATTTACTCACAGAAGCAATACTCTCTTGCATCATAAAAATACTTCAGTATGATGGCGAGCGACATATATTTCTGCTTACTTTCAGTACATGCAAAATTTGATAATATTCATTGGTTTCTGTAGTAAGAAAACAAAAAATGGATGGAAGATTTGACGGTATATTTATCTAAGTTCATTAAGTTTAAATAATTTTTGGGATTAATTAGACGAAAACGTTAATTCATACAGCTGTGTTAAACAACTACTAAATGATAATTAACTTTAAAGTAAAGACTGATTTGTGTGTACCAGTAGTAACCGGTGCTTTTCATCTGGTACTTAATTCAGACAGAATCTCACTTACCAAATTGGTAACTTAATGACTATAATAGAATACACTTTAACCCACTATCAGAGACGAACATTTGTTAATTTTTTATACTATTGCTGTTATCGAATATTAGCGTGTATGTGTGTGTATATATAATGACTGATGAGAGATAATTCTTATTCAAATGTATACGCAGAAGTACATTTGCAATAAATTTAACCTTTTTTGGTAAAAAATAATATGTATAAATTGCTCAAAGTACTTCACAATAAATGTTTCACTTGTTATCTGCAAATTAAATAACTTCGAACGTTACTACTAACCAGTAGAATATTATTGTGTTATAAAATTTTCTCTTCTAAAAGAAACTATTTGATTAATCAACTGCTTTATAGATAAATCATAATTACTTGACAAAGAAATGTTGTACATTGATTGCGTACAGTTATTTCATGACTAGTGCACATGTAAATCTTCAAATATGGCACTTTAATATGCGTGCATCTATAAACAAAGTATAACAAATGTAAAAAAAACACAAAAGGATTTTGTTTACGGAAATAAAGTTAAGTAAAACGTCAAGTAAATAAGAAGCGGTAATTTAAAATATAATAGAAAAATGGTGAAATGTAAAACGAGTAATAAGTTTGTCCAGAGGTCAGCCACTTGAATAGAGACTAAAGGTTCTTTGTTCAGTTCCCTGTTAGATCATGGATATGCAGTGCTGTGGAGTCACCTCCTGGGACGAAAAACTCTCTCAGCTCTTTCTGGTTTTTGATAGTTGAAAAACCAGTCAATCCGTTGTGAAAAATTAAAATGATTATACAAACATCTGTGTGGATACAGTACAGGGAATGCATAGTACTTCGACAAAATGAGTCCTCAAAGAAACTTTTCTAATTGTCTTAACACTTTTGTGAAGTTGTTTTCTCATAGCTGTGACAGCACCTGAATCAACTAAAACGTTTTCCCCTCAAATCACTCCTGTCTTTAAATCATTGTTAGTCATTGTTGAATAAATATTACTTGGTCTTAAATGGTTTCTCTAGAAGAGAAAAAACTTGAAATGTTGCTGTAATCACCTAATAGCGATAACGAAAAACCGATATTACGTAAATCTATTTATTATGTACTTTAGAACTGTGATATAATTATTAGACGTAAGTAACATTTACTTTTGACGTTGGATAGTTTTAGTCATTTATAAAGCTATCCACTCATTTTATATATCCTTTAACTGTGTTGATAAAGTACAACCAAAACTAAAGAGAACATGTCACTGTAGTTTAGGTACATATTATTCAGTATATTAAAGTTATCATATCATTGCAAAATTTGTACCTGTTTAAATTCATTAAGGCCTTAAATTAAACTATTGGGTGTATGAATAGTTTTTGTAGATATCTATAAGCCTCTATAAGTGAGTATTTATGATCGAATGCTTGTACCAGACTACGCATTTCTTTTTCTTTTCACTTCAGATGTTAATTTCTTAAAAACTAACTCCGTCTGTGATTCTTCCAAGGTTACTGCCGATCCCAAGCCCGGGTAAAGGAGGAGGGTTGTGCATGGGGTCAATAAACGTAGCCTGTAGAAAAAAACCTTGCTAAAAAACGCAAACCAGATAAAACAAATTTAACCCAACTTCGAGATCAAAGGGCTGGTCGTGCACAAACCAAATCGCCACATTACGGATCATCGTTGAGTAATCAATTGAATGGAACTCGTCACTATACAACAACGTCTTTGGTTACAAGAAAGTGTTTGACAGCAAGGATTGGAGAAAATTATGGAACATTGTTAGACAATGCAATATATTTAAAAAAATCGTCAACATCACCCAAAATCAGTTTGACGGACTACATTGCATAGCTGTGCACGAAGAACAGCTAATAGGCTCATTCCAAGTGAGCATCAGTGTCAGTAAAGCTAAGCACTCTCCTTCTTTCTATTTCTTCCGGTTATTGACTGGATTACGAAGACCCTGACATCTGAGGGGAAACACGGAACAAAACGGACAGGTCGGGTGCAACTAGACGACTTAGACTTCCCAGATAACTTAGCCCTTTTATCCAATACACACAAACAATTGCAGTTGAAGGCAACTAGTGTAGCAGCAGCCTGTGAAGCAGTAGGCTCCAACATGTACAAAGGTAGAACCAACATCTTCAAATATAACACGGAGTAAAACCCAATCACACTTAATGAAGAAGTTCTGAAATAGGTGAAAACTTTCACGTACATGGGCTGCATGATCGATGACCGAGGAAGATCTGATACAGATATAAAGATGAAGATTGGCAAAGAGTCAACAGTATTCCTACAGATGAAACGCAGAGAACTGCCACTAACATCATCAAAATGGTACCAGTATTTATAAACAATTATCTACACAAGATACTGAATGTCCGTTGGCCGGATATCATCAGCTACAGCGTTAATTTTCACATCATATTATTTTACGACTAAAATGGTCAGATAATGCAATACTTTTTTCATCAGAAAACGTTTCTTAATAATTTAAGAATGGATTAATTAATCACTATCTATCGTTGACTGGTAATTCGTTAAAAATATTCATAGTAGAGTCCCTTCTTATTCTCAACATAGGAGAATATTTCAATCAGGCAGGTATTAAACGATGTGAGGTCTTTGTCTTACAGAAACCATTCAACTGGTGTTTCAAAGACAGGAAATTTATTCAGAAAATATTATCATTTCTTTTCCGAATCCACAATACGTGTCGTCACTCACACGATTTATTCATTACTGAATATCTTCCTAGAAATTACCATTATTCAACTGACCATAATTAGGTAGATTGTCTTGAATCTGTGTTTGTTAGTGAGTTTCTGAAAATATTTGCATCAAGGAATGTCTAGTACTACTATGTCTTAAAATACTAAAAGTCGATTTTGCGTCAATCAAGATAACACATATTACTTTCAGCTTTACCACATGACTAATGTTGTGTCTGTATTCTGTGTTGAACGATATCACGTGCCTAACACGCCATTTAGGAGAGCTGATAATGACTTTTCTATCTTTCATATGCTGTTTTGACTGCAGTCTACCATCCTCAGACTTAAGCACTGATGCCTCCTGGCTGCCACAATGGAACTCGAGCTAACGTAAACTGCACGCTTAATGGTTTTCTGTCCGCGATCCCATGTCATTCCCCAGCCATGAACCCGAAGAGAAGTTTTAGCCAGTCTTCTTTTAGCATTATGTTTCAACCGCTCAGCCAGCCAGCATCTTTCTCAAGCACTCAGCTTATATTCAATTCATCAGAACATAAACCACACTAATTAATAAATCGTACTTTGAAAACAATCAATCAATAAGTAGCAGAGAGTGATGGAAACAGTGCATTGTTAATTATAAATACTTAAAAAGTGGTAAAACGCAAAATAAAAGTTAATTGTTCCACTGGAAAATTACAATAAGAATGATCCAAAAATACAATAATACAGTTATCTAATTATTATCTAATGAAATTATTAATCATAATGATAACCCGTAGAATATTTTCAAGGTTTCTCACTTTTCTAATGCTCCCTGTTTTACAACAGCTATTATCGACGAAGTATCTTAAAACGAAGCTGAGAATTAAATATTTCACCATCACCAAACGACTTAACAAGCATCTTTCTTTGTAGTTAGAAAATGGTCAGAATTGATCAATACGCAACCCATTTCTAATAGGTTTAGTCCATGGTAGCCATGTTATGGAATTGAAAAGAGTGTTGTTCTCCTAAATGTGCCACTGCGTTGTAATTTTGAAAACTTGTTTTACTCACAGACTAAATGATTTAGACCATAAATGTGACTTTATCGCACATTTGTTTCCCTTGCTTAATTTTTATTAAACTGAAAATTAATAAGTATTGTTTTGCAATGAATACTAGGCAATATTGCTGACTTTCGCTGCAGTAATTGTCAATAGCAGGGTTTACATAACATCTGTCCATAGATGACGTGTAATAGTTGAAATATCCAGTAGGTTTTAGCGTTTTTGATATCAAACTAATTTAGATTTTATCAAAACTAGTTACAATGAAAATCAAGAAATTTCAAACATATAAGTTCGGTTTCTAATAAAAATTCAGCTTGTTTATTTCAGTGATGTTCAGCATTAAACGTATTTTAATTAAAGAGTTCTTAGTTTTCTTTTTCTTTCATCAAATATTCATAACTGTCTAGTAAATTTTTCATAGTTTCAATAGTTATTAATCATTATTCCAACTGTATTTCTACATCGTAGGTCATTATAATATAATCGTATCTACATATCTAAATCGAATGTCCTATCGAGGTTATTTTATGTCATTCAATTACATCGTACATATTCATTTTATTTATAACCGGAAAATAACTTTTTTTCTTGTTAACTTATGACTGTTAGTGTTTTTTCTCCATCCTAATACTTCTTAACAAACAAAGCAATCACTTCTTGAATAACTCTTTGACTTCAACACTGTTAGATGCCAGCTCAGTAGTTTAGGGGTTAAGCATTCGCGCACGAGACTGATAAGTCTTGAGTTCGAATCTCGCGAGGTCGGATCAAGGATTCGCACTGTTGAGGATTATCATGTTAGAATGAAGCGGCTATCTATTGCTTCCAGGTTTTCCATAGTGGTCTAGCTTCAGCTGTCTAAAAAAAGTGTCAAGATACAGTGTTCTTCTCTCAGATAATCTTTATCATTCGGTATGTATATTTTATCAGTTCTATCTGGAAAACATATCATTTCTCAAGTGATAAAAATTGTGCATACACTAAGCATATAAATATAATAATTAACATCAAAATTATGTTTTAATATTTCAAATAAATCGCCAAGAAATAAACACTCGACATATTAAAGAACAATGATATATTCTTTTTAAATCAATCAGTTTTCCTTTCTTTTTTTATCACCAACATAATACAATGCAATCAATGAAGACAAATATAAGAAAAGTCAAGTACATTCAATAGATGCATAAATTTGTGCTTTTAAATATTATTATCTTCATAAGTTCTTTTATAAATCATTCTTTTATCCAGATTTAAATAGAAGGAATGCTCGATCATCCAAATAGAAATATATAAAATTATGTGTTTCATGTGTTACATAACTTTATTACGTGATTATGAATAAATGAAAGAAAAGAGAAATAGAGAAATATATATATTTAATTATTCATATAAAATTATTGAAAATTGAAAAAAATAGTTCCTAATATATCGATTTTTAAAGCTGATTTAAATTAAAGTAGGCAAATATCTTATCAGTTTATCATACACTAAAATTTGTTATATTTGTAAATGTTTCCAATTTGATTCAATTGATGAGATCATAGATACAAAGAAGTTGAACCAAAACTATTGTATATAGCTTAGTTTGGTTGATAGTTTTTGAATATTACATTTTAAGAATTCGTATTATGAAAATTACAAGTTATATAAACAAAGATGGATGGTGGTTTGCAGTGGAATCCAAAATGTGAGTTTCATCCTAATTTGTACTCGTCAGCTAGATTTACCTGTATCCGAGAGTTGATTTACACTCTGAGACTCAAACCCCAGTACTGTTCACTTTAAACACTATGATATTATCCACTTGACTACTGAATTCTAATAACAACTTACAGTTTAAAGTTCAATATTATCAATAAACTTTACATTTTGAATTGTAGAACTATAACATTTTATACATGTACATGTATAAGCTTATACAAATATGTCTTGTAATTTCTTAATCTATAAGAGTTTTAAATTGATATTATTCAACAAATAATACATTGTTAATCATAATAATACATATATGGATATAATTTATCTATTAAGAATTAACATACCTTCCAAAATTTCGTCCAACGATACAATGCCATGTTGGATTATATTTACGATCGAATTCTTTTTTAATATTAGCAGCTATATCTTTTTCTAAATCATGCTTATCTAAAGCACCAGCAGCTATATGGATTGCATCCTCTTGCATTTCATTACTCATATCAGCATTTTTAATAACTGCTTTACGTTCACTCATTTTATAATAATAATAATAATATTAATTTAATTTAAATACAACTATTATATAATTTATAGAAATTTATATAATTTTTATAGTATTTATTTTATATTGTGTTAAATTAGGTAATTCATAATTTCTTATTTAACTTTAGTAGCATAGCTTCAAATGAATAAATTATTATGATTTAATGAATGAAATTGTTCATATACATATATATGTATTTATATAGATATATATATACATATCTATATGATATACACAACATTCAAATATGATTAGTTTAGAGTTAAATAATTTACTTAGGATAGTGATAAGATTGATTAATTTGTTAAATGAATCATTAGACAATGTCAATAAATTAATTTATTAAATTACAAACATGTTCATTTGTAAACATGTGGAAAAGTCTATTTAAATAACGATGATGATGATGATGATGATAAAGATAATAACAAATTGAATAGTTCTAAGATGAATACGTTCGTGAATTGTTAACTTACATGAAAGCAATGAATATTTGAAAAAAGTATTAATTGTTTCTTAGTTGAAACATTCTAAAATGAATTAAGTGAATAAACGGTAGTGGAATTTCAGTAATGTTTCTGAATTTAGATAATAATCATAAAAGAACGAAAAAAGTTTTATAGTAGTCGAATATATGTATATTGGTAAGACTGACCTGATATAGCGGGCATATGATTAACACTTCAAGAATGTGCGTTATGCTTGAAACAATACATATCTTTTCCTTATAACAGAGAGGTAAGATTCATTACTAGTGAGCAATTTGAAAAGCAAGGATATCTTCGAAAAAAAATATCACTAGCCCTTTTTAAATAATACTTGTTGATGTAAATATGTCCTATACTCTATCAAGTTAAAAATGATATAACTTCAAGTTTCATTGTATTGAGTTGGATCAGTCCATGAAAAAATAGTTTATTGAGTATCTTAAATAAACAGGTTAGATTTGCTTTAAGTCTCAACTTCTATAATACCATGAGGACTTTGTTAAATGAATTTGAATTTGGGGTTGAAATACAATGACTCAAATGGAAATGGATTTTAAAGCACCGTTAAACAGGTTTCGATGTAAGTTTATACCTGGTAAAAATACTACCCAGACTAAATATGGAGTATCCTAGGGGTTATCGAACAAATAGTTTATACACTGAATCACATACGTTATTTTCATAAAAGATGAGAATATACAAGTGAAAAGTCGTTGAGAACTTGTATTATTTGCTGAAATTCGTTCTATAAAAGACATATTGTAGTGATATCTGAGTCCACTGAATGAAAATTAAACAGGGTATTTATCAGGCGTCATATAGATACAGTTTGTAAATCGTTTAGTTCATGAACTGAAAACTAGTAAACTACTTTAAGATCACTTGCCTATAGAAAATGTTTGTCCGAGCTGAAGCAGTTATAGATTTTACCTAGATCAAATTAGCAGGGTTATTTCACGGTTTCTCGTATTCAGTGTAATCAATTAGATCCAAGTCCATCTACTCCATGACTCCTTGAAATCTTAATGGAGGTTGTGGATTTAGTAATTTGAAGATAAGTGAAAGAAATAGAACGTATGGTGCTATTAGTCATATGTGTGACTTATAGGAAGAAGTTTTCAATTGATCCCTAAAATACTACTGAAAACGTTAGCGGTGGTTTTAAATTTAAAGAACTAGTTTATTTATTTAAAGTTCATATGATGAAATGTCATATGTTAATTTACTTTCTTAGGTATTACAATTTGCTTTGTTTTAAATAACTTACTTTCTCGTAACAAAAATTGACTTAAATTTCCTCACATATGTATATCACCGTCTCAATTCAATTCTTAACTTTGTTTCTTTAATATTCATCTAAAATTTCTATTACAAACTTATCAAATAATAAATACAGTAACGACTACTTATGAACATCAAGAAAAATATACAAATTTAGGTTCACATAGAATTCGATGTAAACTATTCGCATTTTAGCATAGCAACTAGTACATTGTTTTGATGATATTTTTTAAAGTGAATATTATCTAGAGATATTGTGCTGAATATTTACTATATGAATAACATCTTCATTTGATAGTTTGCTTTGAACCAGATAGATAGATTCAGGTTCTGAGAAGAGTGCTTTCAGCTGGTCAGCTTGTCAATTAATGATCAGTAATAACTCGTATATGTTCAAATATGTAATCTACATTGCAATAAGCCTTTTCTTTTTCAGGAAGACTTCAAACTGTGACTTTCATTCAAAACTATAAATGTAAAATTTAATGCTATGGTATAAAGTCTAAAATAATGCTAACTAGCAAGTTAGGTAAAATCTAGACGTTTATAACAGTAGCTATTTTAGAGGTTCCGAATGACTGGTGGATCATTAGTTTTTACTTAATCAACCTATGTTGATAACATATTTACTCTAATATGGATTTGCTTTTTAAGCGTAATATCAGTATGAAATTTCACTGAAATATATAATTTGTAATTGTTTGCATAATTGCGTTGCTAATATTTTAATTCAATTACAACCAGTATTAGTTGACACATTTGCACTCTGTGGCTCCACAAAAATATATACCAGATTTGCAGCAATCGAATAAAACTTGTCGAGTACTTGGGTTACGTAATAATTACAAGATATTGCATTATTTACATAATAATACTGAGTAATTGGGAGAAAGAGGTCTATAATAATCAAAATAATTATTCAGAAAATCAAAAAGTTGTTGCACCAAATAATGCATGAAGAGAACCAACAAAATATTATCATGAATGGCCAGTAATATAGTAGTTTCGTAAGAATCAATAGACGAATACTAAGAATGTGTAAAAATGTAGTTAGAAGAAATTATAATATTATCAGTATTGTTTCGAGGAGATAGTTGAGTTTTCACCGAGATCATGAACTGACCAATGTTATATCACCATTGAAAACATGGAAACACTGAACTCCTGCATCGTCCTAGTAGAGTGCTTTTCAGTAATATATATAAACGATCCCGTTCGCAGTACCCGGATCCAGGACCTTTGGTTTCTTGCGTGCGCATAATCTCAGAACTACTGAGTCATGATCCGACAGTGTTAGTGCCTTACTTCAACTAATAGACGATATTTCGCGACGATGTTCTGTTGTCTGCCTGGCACCCGGCACAGTTAAAGTCTCTCATATCTAATTAGTACAGTGCCATGAAAATGAACATATTGTCCTACTGCAGGTTTCATATGCGTTCCTCTTTTTGATATTCCATCAACTTTGTTAGTTGGACATCAGAAACGATGTAATATTTCTCTGTTCTTCCTCAAGTGTAAAAATAATGGATGGGTGAACGTTATTAAACATATTAAATAAATTATCCTTCTCATGTTCTTGTTCTAATATTAAAGCAAAGTAAATAGTATTATATTCTACTGATTTATTCGAATGAACGTAAAAACTAGTGGATATGCTATACATTCAGCTGACGAGTAGCAAATAAGACGAAGCGCGCATCTTAGATTCCACTATCAACCACCATTCATCACTACGTGAAATCCTTAAGAATTAATGGCTCTATCGAAGTAATTCATAAAATTTCCACGCATACCGAAAGAAACTGATCAATTAAAGACATAAGCATCAATAGAAAGATCCAAACAACCAACATCTATATGAATTATATATAGTTATGCTGATATTCACCTATAAAAATATTTCTCTTATATTCAATGCTAACAATATCGTTAGCAACAATATTTTCTTTTTGTTTTCGTGTTTATGTAAACTATGCTAAATCTTCAGAATCGTATTTTACTAAATGTTTTATATTGAATTCTTATTGATTACAACTTTGTATACACCCATCAGAGAAATATTCTTAACATTGATATTTTATAAATAACTTTCATGGATGAAATTAATGCTGACAAGTTATGTATGAATTTATCATAATTTACTTACAATAAAAAATTTAATTTCATTTTTATTCTGAAATTCTTGTTTAGTAGCTTGGCTTCATTTTATCGACATATCAATAACAATGTTTGTAGTGTTTAATCATTCATCTCTAAATACATTAGGTCGATATTAATAGTGGGTGGTTTAACTTATAGATGTATAAATATATGTATGTATGTGTACCACTATCTTATTGTTGTTTTGCTATTTTTTTTAATATTTGCCAGTTGTTTACCGACTTGTAAATAGTTTTAAATAACTGTAAATGCAAACACCAATATACAGTATTCTGTGTAAACGTTTTGTGAAATAATTCAAAATTCTTGTTTTGTTATTATTGACATCGTAGTATTGTACAGTTAGACAAAATAGAGTTTTTGTATTCTGTGTTATTAAAAATTTAATTTTTAGTCTGTGTTATGCTTACAGGAGGTCAGTCGCGGCCCGAATAATCCAGTGGTAACGTTTCTGACTGTTGAGCTGAGTGACACGGGATCGAATCCGTCAGGGAGCACAAGTTCCCTCAAGATTACAGATACACCTTGCTGACGAGTGCTAAGTAGCACGAAACCCGGGTCTAGGGTATCCTGTCGACTATCTCCAACCACTATCTAATCTCAATATAATACACGCTGTGTCGAGTCAACTAGACTGGTGGCTATATTGCAACTTGGTCGATAGAATTTAATCAACACCAATAAGGGCTTGACACACATGACATTGATCACCACCCAGTGATCAGTAAATTGTAATTCATAGTTTCCATTAATCCCAGTAATCCCATTATGCTATACAAAGTTTCCTATCATTTATATAACGAATCTTACATGGGAGTAGAATATATGATATAGCTCATAATAGTATCTGAAATAAACGTCTTATTCATCAAACGAGCAAGTTGATTTAAAGAATAATACAACTGTATCAAGTAAGCTTCAAGTTACAAATATAAACCTTAAAATGACTTTATAAGAACAGTTTAGTATTTCATTAAATTGGTCAAAAAAGAGAAATTATATTCATTATCATTATTATAATTAATGTATTAAATCAAAGATAGTTTTTTTTTTTAATTTTTTTTCTTAAATTTAGTTTATTTATAAAAAGACAAAATGAAGTACATCAGAGTATACATTATTGATTATTTAACTTCATAATTTAATTAGCAAATAAATAAGAATTTTAAAATTAAATGAATTATTATGGAACTATTATGTTCACAGTCAAAAAAATAATTGCATAGACAATATGTACACAACTTACATTGGTATTATTGAGTAATTTTTATATAATTCTATGTATGATTAATAGGCATACTAGTTTTAAGAATGTATTTTCATTAAACTCTTTTGTATATAGAAATATTTAAAAAAAAAGAATATTCTGTAAGTAGAATATCTATCTAATCAAATATGAATTCACATATTACATGAAGCCAAATGTAGTATTTCAAAAATTAAAAGATGTATTCAAATCCAAAATGTAGTATCACTTGGTATTGTTTTGCTTGTATCTTCCCATTGAGTTTTTAAGACTGCAATTGATCAGTCTGTTATTTCGGCATATGTGCATACTGTGCGTATGCCTCGATATTGCCTTAATTCACAAGCTTTTTGTAGTAAACAATGATGGATAGTGGCTAGTAGTGGAACCCAGGACGTACGTTCCGTCCTATTTAGGACTCGTCAGCTGGATATACCTGCATCTCAGAGTTGATGTTCACTCTGGGACCCAAACCTAGTACCATTCGCTTCAAACGCCATCGTGTTATCGACTCAGCTACTGAGTCCTGATGTAGTCAATAATTAAACGTGTACGCTTTAACCACATTTACTGTAAAAGTTTTAAACCGCTGAATAAATATTTGGTTGATACTGTCATACTGTAGTGTGTGCTATTCATGTTAACAGATATAAGTATAATGTATCATCAGTAGAAAGTGAAATACCTGGTTACAGAAGGTAATGAAGATCGAAGAAAACAGTAAGAAGACAGAATGATTGCTGTGAAAACGAAGGAACAATGGATTTTGAGACCATTGACTGATATTTAGCAAATGAATTATTTACTGTATGGTTCTCATATTTTACTAAGATGTTCTGCAATTTTGTATTCAAATACATCCGATTGTTCCTAATTGTGTTCTCCTTGACTGATACAACTAAATTTGGCAAATTAGGCTGTTAAAATTTTAACTGGTTAAATTAGGTAAATACATGTATTTATAAATATGTATGATAAATATGTATTCTTCATTTATCATAGTACAAAGTAGGGAGTTTTGGTGGAAAAAAACTGTTACTTATCAGAATATAGGTTGACTGAAAACTTTTATTGTAGTGTATAGTACTTATGTTGACAAATATAAGTAGTATGTAACAGTAACCAGAAGTTGTAAGACGAAGAAAATACAATTACGATGAGGATTATACAATTTGAAAGGATGAATTACACTAATTAGCACATTGTACAATACGTTGACACTATTAAAACTAACACATTTCCTATTCAGATTTTATTTTATTTGTACTAAATAACATGAATTATCTATTTCACATTACGAAATAAATGACTTGATAGTTTGTTTAGTATTTCTAACTGACAATTCTGTAAAACCCATTTGATATTATTAAAGTAATGGAATACAAATAATTCTGTACCATTCAAAGATATGATTACTTAATAACTTAGATTGTATGTATTTATTCCATAATAAAAATAAGATAAAAGAAAGAATATATAATAACATTACTTTAGCAAACAATTCTGCTTGTTGTTGGGCACATAATTCATAAATAATAATTAAAAAAACAGATAAAAACTCACTTATAAAACGGACTATTTCCTCTTCAATATAATAAATCTATTCAAGTTCAAAATACTTTCAACCAAGTTGATATTACAAACAATCTTTTTTAAAAATGAATGAAAATATAATTAGTTTATATATTATAAAGGATATAATACTGTGTCACAAGGCAAGCCCTCACATGGAATCCTCAAGACCAAAACAAAGAGGAAGACCAAAGAATACATCACGTAGATAAATGGAGACAGACATGAGAAAAATGAATAAATATTGGATAGAACTGGAAGGGAAGGCCCAAAACAGAGTGGTTTGGAGAATGCTGGTCAGCAGCCTATGCTCCATTGGGAGTAACAGGCGTAGGTAAGTAAGTAATATAATACTTCGCTATTCCGTAGATAAAATCGTAAATACTAATAAGATTTAATTATTATCTACATCATTCATTTGTCATTTATACATATGGAAAGCCTAACAGAATAACTTTGACAAATAAATAATATATTTGTAATATTCCAATGAGTAGAAAATTAGATTTTCTAGCGTTTCGTAACTTAATGTAAGCCACTTCTTCAGAGAATAAATAACCAAATTAAAATTAACAGAATAGCTTTGATATTTATCTAAAGCTATGTTAAATAGTATAGAAATTTTGTATAAGGAGCCATCAATAGTAATATTATTCTTTTTGTTAAAGTTATCGAATGGAATTTATCTGTTATTTCAAGGTTAAATGATCTAACTTGAAAAAAGGTTATGGATACCAAAAATGTAGCTCATTTTTTCTAGAAAACAAAACAAATTTCTGTTTATCGTAATTCTATTAACTAATATAAACAACTGATATGATTATGACAATTAAAAGATTTAGTTTATAAAGTTTTCTACCATTTTTTTAAAAGATTAATTTGAACCATTATAAAACTAAATAGCTGTAAACAAATAGTTCATGATTATTTAAGAAACAACCATTAGGTGTAAACATATGGTATACATATTATAATGAAGTTATGATACACATTCATTTATACTCATAGACATATAGTCAAACTCATATATTAAACTAACGCACATAGTTTAACTCAATCACAAGTAAACATAACAATAAAGAGAGAGAGAGAAAAAAATCATTTAAAGAAAAATAAATGATATGGTAAACACACGTATAATTTTTGTTTCTAACTACAAATAAGAATAGTATTTGTGTTCATTTACTTGTCAGCCTAATATATAATAGCTATGCTATAATAAAACCAATTTTCGGAATAGCTCTTTTTTTTACTTCTCATCTAGTCAGGTGAATTGAAGCTAATTTACTAAACATGAATCTACGAATGAGAATAGTGATATGATTAGGTACTTAAAATTATGAACGGTATAAAAGTACTATATGATCAGGTATAATACTTCATTGTGTTTATATTCATAAATTAAGTTAAATGGGAGAACGAAAAGCTGTCATTAAAAATGCTGATATGCATGAAGATATGCAAGAGACTGCTGTACATACAGCTGCTGCTGCACTTGACAAATATGAAATTGAGAAAGATGTTGCTGCTTATATAAAAAAAGAATTTGATCGAAAATATAATCCAAATTGGCATTGTATTGTTGGAAAACATTTTGGCAGGTAAGCATTACAAATAAAACCATTTATTTGTATCGTTAATGTCCTTTCATTTTAAAATATGATTAGTATACAATGTCTATTGCTAGATATAGTGAAATTTGTAACTTAAGAAACATAACTAATTAGATATAAAACAGCAAACGCCTAAATTGTATAACATTATCTCCCATTTTCAAAAAATTCATTTTCATTCTTTGTTATGTTAGTTTAGGTTGACAAGGTTTGTAGGATGATTTATAAATGTTAACCTTTTATTAAATACACAATATTTTGATATCTTTTCTTTTTGTAATTCTAATTTCAGTTATGTAACACATGAAACACAACACTTCATCTATTTCTATTTACAAGAACGAGCTTTCCTCCTTTTCAAATCCGGTTAGAAGACATCATTGATAAATCTGAACAAAGAAAACAACATTTAGTTTAATTCAAATGTATACTAGTTAGCATACAATTATGTTTAAATGATAGTCTAAATCGTATAATTTAATCTCTTTTTTTAAACAACAACGACACCAACAACAAAACGAAAGTACAATAGCATTTTTGCACTGTTATGTCAAAACATTTTGTAATTTGTTTAAAAACAATGAATAAATAAATTTGTTACTATAGTTTTTGATCAAATCTTGACTTTTTAATTAGCTATACTCAGTTTATTTTCAACCTGTTCAGTGAATATACCATCTTGAGGTTAAATAAAACCCACTGTCATTGATATGTTGACGTGATTTATAGTTGCGCAACTTCGTGGATTGGTTAAAGTTAGACATTAACACCGTTGGATGCTGGCTCAGTGGTCTAGAGGGTTCATATTTAGTCAGGCGGAATCGTGGATGCGCACTGCTGAGAAGTCCAATACTAAGACGAAACAGCTGTCCAGTGCTTTCAGGTTTCTCATGATGGTCTAGCATTAGTTGAACCATGAACTCAACTATTAAACTAGAAAATACCAACAAATAAATAGAATAAAACAAAAAGCGAACACAGAAAAAAGACAATGCAAACAATTTTCTGTTGTTAATCTTGTGATTATTTAGGAACAAATAAACTTGTTTTAAAAATGCTTTAATTGACTTATTAATTCATCCATTGAATAAGTATTTGATGATTCATTCATTAAACAATTAGGCAACAAGAAAATTTAGAACTTCTTAGAAAGTCGTAGGTTGAGTTTAAGCATCATTTATTATTTATTTACAAGTTATCAACAAATGTTAGATATTATTTAGAATTTAAAAAGAGAAATCTTCAATAGATACGCGGGGACTTTGGCCACCTACTTGAACATCTGGTCTACACGTTCTTGTCATCTGGATATTTCAACAAGTTATCTGTTATCTTGTTTCTTTTAAAACATCATTATAGCTACTAATCGCATAGCCTATTAAGGGGCGTTTCTGAAAAGTGTATAACCTTCCGTGGTACAAGCTACGAAATGCCCAATCAGAGATATCGTGGTTGCTGTCAATATGCAGCGAAAGGAGTGTACATTATTTAGATGTTGATTTGCTGAACTGCTAAGTTCTAGCTGGTGATCATTCAGTATTTATTGTCAGCATCGACCAAGAAGTACGAAACGGAAACTTGTTGAAATACTTTGTGCTGAAAAATATATATTGTATCAAAAATATAATATGAATAACGCTAAAAAGGAAAAACTAATGGTCTAATCTATTTCAGTTAATGTTTGACACATAATAGATTATTTCTGCTACTGTATATCAGTAATCAGCTCATTGAATCAATTTACCAACACACACTCGTGTAATAGACATAAATCTGGATATTGTTTTATTATAAGTGTAACCGATGTTCACGGAAGTTTATAGTTGCACCTCAAAACACAAACCAAGAATTGCAATCAGTCTGTTTTTCTAATTCTTGATACTTGTTGTTTTTCAGCTTTTATTCAGCTTCCATTCGTTCATTACCTACCCACTAAATTTAATTGAATAAATCGATTCTAATGTTATCTTTTTGTTTTGTGCTTAATTTGTTATGTAATTAATCGATAATGCCGATTTATTTACATGTCTTTAAACCTGGTACACTTTGGTAAATATAGTACAAATATTAAGTTGTATTAAATCCATAAAAACGTGAATGAATGAAGTTAATTATTCTAGATCGCTAGTTAACACCATTCACATTGTGGTTATTATTTAATATAACAATTACAAATGAAGTTACTGCGCTTTTAGGTTCATATAAATACAAACGTTCAATACAAATTATGTGTAAATTGCTAACAAGAGACTGATCGATTGCAGTCCTAAACTTCAATTGGAAGATTCAAACAACCAGTACGAGAGGAATATCGGTTAATTACCAACAATACTTCATTATAAATTATCAGGTAATAATCAGACAAGTGATCATAAACAGATTCTGTTTTCGTTTAGAGTTAGGTTAACGGGAAGAGAGAACTACATATCCAGCTCAAGCGCGTCAATAACGAATTCATGTCACCTCCCAATTAGCAAAGTATGTATGACATGGTAGAAAAATGAAGTTTATTGTTTAGGCACAATAATTTTGATAGTATAATCATAGTGTAGCAAAGATAAAAATAAAATCTAGAGACTGAATAAAGTGATGCAACTAGTTATCATATACAGACGATCATTGATAACAATAAAAAGCCAGACAAATGAGAATGAGTGGTTACGCAATGAACAAATGCTAAGGTTATGAATGTAATGAAGTGAGTAATTTTCAGTAGGTTCGAAATAAACCGAACGATCCTGAAGAGAGTCCAACAGATAACATGATGAAATATTTGAATAAAATAGCTGAAACGACAAAAGTATTATGATTAATGTTACCAAGGGAAACGGTGACCGATAACTGCTTTTTTCTGAACAAATAAATCAGGAGCCTAACGCTTGTTTAAAATAGCTTCTGAAAATTTGTGGAGGTTAGAACTTGACTGTATGTTAATGAACTTGAAGGATCTTCTATTAACTACACGGTATCCTGTATCCAAGAAACTGAACATTCTAGATGTTTGTTCTTTCTCAGCGTATGGTTTCCAGAACAAGTTCGACAATTAATGGTTAATTGTTAATTTACTGATCCGTTCGTCAGTGTGAATACCATATCAGTTAGTATCTATTAGACACTGTTTCAACAGAAAACTTGTTAGACTACTGAATCATAACTACAAAACATTTAGACTCCTATCTAGCTATTATAACTTACACCATATTGTTTAACTGATATGATTATACACAATCCGTTATTTTGTAAGAAGATTTTTTTTGATTTTGGTATGGTGGGATAAAAAAATGGCATTATTTTTTGTATCAATCCGGTATAAACTTTGATTTAATGCTAAACGTGTACTTTCGTTCAATCTGACAATTTTATTTCCTTTATTAATTCAAGTGAGTTTTATTTACTGTATTTTAACAGCAATTGTATGTGTTTCCAAAACAATATATATGAAATTTAGTATATCATCTATGAGCAAAAGATTATGTGATTTCGGTTGGGATTTTGGAAATCGTTTAGAGACTGGTATTTAGAGAGTCGATAAATCTCTATTCCCCCAGTCTTTTATGTTCTTACTTCGCATCGTAAGAATTGTAGTGGTTTCTGATTGTTAAGTAAGAACACTAAAATTAAGGACTCAACAAACTCGATACGTATACAATAATGACGATCATGTAGATTTAACATTTGACTACCCGGTTTCAATAGTGCTGACGGAACCGAATTCTTAAGTTATAATAATGTCAATTTTGAAATGTAACAGATTTGTTCTTCGTAACATGAATACTAAGTGATTAACTGACAAGTTTTTTACTCAGTTACTTTCTGAAAAATTACTAAAACATTTAAAAAAATGAGTTATCAAAAAAAATCTATACCAAGTGGTAATTTTTGATTTTTTTCTCATAACTATGGTCTCACAAGACATAGAAAAGTTTATCCTATTTATTTGTAACTGAAAATCAGATCTTATAATGAACCCCACCATTTCGGTCTAAACAGCATCTCAGTTATCTATGATTCTTTCGTATATTTAGTAGGCGATGATAATGTGATTTAACACTTTGGTTGATATGCAAGTAACATATATCAAATTTGTGTTCTTTACTTTTTAGACGAAATAAATTTTTACCTAGTCCATCATATATATATATATATATATATATATATATATATATATACTTATGGCTTTTATGAAGTACAAAAGTGATCATGATTCCAAGTGGTTTGGTATACACTTAAATCGACTTATTAAATAAGAAATTTATCCTATCACTGAAGAGTCTCCATTTACTTTTGAGTTATATAAACTTACAAATTAAAAGTATTTCCATTTCGTTGTTGTCCAAAAAGATCATAAAATTTAAATGATACTAAATAAATGTTAGTTTGTAGTTACAAGAAGAGTATGTCTTTTTTACTGACTGGGGTTAAAATAGAGACATTTCTAATTTTAAATCCTATTCCGTGATGTATCTTTCCAGAAATGTCTGAATAAGAAACTGAATAAATACCGAAAATTATGAGAGTTTATAACTCTTGTCTAATCAAAATACAGATTGTCCGAAGTACGTAATTGAGTACATATTTGTGTAACATTCATTATTGCAAAACGTACTGGACATAAATACACCCAATCGATTACCTTCTTTAATAAAAGGTTTACATAATAGCTTTTTTCATAAAGAATTCTTACATAACAGGCAAGATCGAATTTGTTTATGTTTTAAAGCTTGAATAATTGTAAAGTAGTGAAACATCTGCATCGACAATCATCTATATTCGCTGCATAGATATACATGAAAATATCTCTAAGAAAGTATCTATGAAATTACTTAAAATTACATACACTGAATTCATTTTGTTTATTCTTCATTAACAAACATAATGATTTCAAAAGTTTTTTTTAAAATGTACTCATTGATATTACAGTATATTAATTACACGTTATGTCAGATGGAATAAAATCAACATGAGAAAAGTTCAATGCTTCTTTTTGTGTATATTAATATTTAACAAAACTGAATGACAATGTGAAATGTACTGAAAATATGTCAATTTGAATTCAGTTTATGCTTTATTGTTTCGAGCTAGTTGCATTTGGATTTGTTGTCCCATCTATCACTCCATCAATCCATGCTCTAAAATATGAAACCCTTGTGAATAAACCTGGATAAAGCTCAGGTGCCGTAGCGTGTGTAGCTGAAGCTACACCAACAACATAACTTATATCATCTTTCTTGTAAATCAGACCACTCCCGCTATCGCCCTAAAAAAAGCAGAAATAAATTTACCTAAGTTAGTTACTCAAATGATATAAGCTTCTTGTTTAAATCCGTTCAATGAAATAATATACTTCACAAAATAAAAATCGTTCCACTAC